TCATACTGAAGTTTGACTCCAGAACTCATCTTGGCAGACATTATTATTCAATTGTTTCAATTAAAGTTAAGCTCATCTGATTTTAAGGCAAAAACACATTACTGGCTGCACAGTCTTAGCACTTGTGGCCCAGTGTTAGATGTTTGGTGGCCCGAGCTGCTATACGAATTTAAACACCACCACCGGACTCGATGTTCATGCCAGAGTATGGGCTTTTCTTTTCAGTTTAGAATCTGAGTCTCGCTTGGACTCCATCTCTTGCTTTCAGAAATGTGCATAGTTTTTGTCACTTACGTGCCTCAGACAACTTGTGAGGCATAATGAACTATCCAGAGCTTTTTAGATGAATGCTCATTTATAGTAGCATGTGTCTCTAAATAGTTCTGTATATTATACACTCATGCATATTCATATACTTGAGTAATACATATGCATTTATGAGTCAGTGCTCAGAAAAAAGATAAAACTATGTGTGTCAAAGCAAATGCCACTGATCACGTCTCATGAAATCTTATCCTAAACACTTAACTTTCACATTGTTCTAACAGTTACCATCTTCGAGACAGAGCTGATTTAGGCAGTGTCATCATGTGCCTCTGATACTTTGTGATGGGCACTGTGCTCTGGATATTTTATGATTAACACAGAAAAGTGAACAGTTGACAGATCTCTGAGACGCCTTGGCAATTACAGTACTTTCTTACCACTGACCCGTGGCTCTGTTATGTGACTCTGGCTTCTACTCTTCAAGTTTACTAAATTGAAATAACAATATATATATGGTTTCAGGGAATTTGTGAAAAAGCAGCTCTTTTGATCTAAGATCTGTAAAGAAATATGAAAATATGGAATTTATGATACATTTTTATTAAGACATGATTGATATTAACATTCTGTAAGTTTGAGGTGTACCTGTTGGTTTGACACATTTACATATTGCAAAATGACATCTATAGTAGCGTTAGCTAACACCTTCAGTATGTCACACAATTGTCATTTCTTTTTTTGTGTTGAGAACAATTAAGATCTAGTCTCTTAGCCCTGCTGGGAGTGGCTCAGCGGTTGAGTGTCTACCTAGGATTCAGGTGATCGGGGTTCGATTCCCGGTCAGGGCACATGCCCGGGTTGCGACCTAAGCAGCCGATCAATGACTCTCTCATCATTGATGTTTCTCTCTCTCTCTCTCTCTCTCTCCCCCTCTCCTTTCCTTTCTCTGAAATCAATAAAGAAATATATATTTTTTAAAAATCTAGTCTCTTAGCAACTCTGAAGTTTATAACACAGTATTGTTGACTATAACCACTATGTTGTGCATTAGATCTCCAGGACTTATTTGTCAACTAGTTGCAAGTTTGTAATCTTAAACATCTCAATTTTTCTCACCCCATAGGCTCAGTTTAGGTAACCATCATTCTACTCTGTTTTCACAAGTTAATTTTTTTATATATTTCACTTATAAGTTATATACAGTATTTGCCTTTCTCTGTCTGACTTATCTCAGCATAATGCTGTGAAGGGACAACATAGATGGGCCTTGAGAGCATTATAATACATAATGTATTATTGTTTCAAAGAATGATAAATAACATGCAGACCTAGAAGAAAAGTACAGCCCCGATTTCCAAACCATACTCTAAAGGGCACTGTTTTCTACCTGGGCTGAAATTTCCCACAAAGGCACACATGGCAGGAAGGCACACAAGACACAGAGGAAATCCAGGCCACTAAGACATCTGCTGAGGCACTGAGTTTAGCTTTCGCTAAAGTTCGGCACAGTCCTCTGTGAGCAGCTGTCCCAGATACAAAATCGCACAGGGGATTAATTCCCTAGGGATGAAGCTGAAGTCACAGGTTTTGTTTGTCATCGGCAACCTCAGAATGCTTTTTCAGCGCTGCCTTTCCGATCTTTGAAATGGAGCACACCCTCATAGTCTGTAGGTAATTTTTTCACCAAAGGACATGCTTGACTATCATTTTTCTTTTGGGGAGTGTCTGTTTCTTAAATGGTTACGGTGACACATTATTAAATGTGTCCAATTAAAATATCCATTTTACAGGCCAGGTATTCCTCTCAGTACGGCAATGGCTGAAACAAAGTAAAATATGAAAGATTTTTCATATCAATGGACATGGTAGAGCCAGAAAATTAATTGGATTCCTTTTAGATGAATCTTATATGGGTCAGCAGATTTAATCAGAGTTACTTAAAAAGCAGTTAACATTCTATTAGCAACAACTGTGATCTGTGTCAGCAATAAGACACTCTTCAGTCATTTATTTTAGTGCAAGAAGTCACTGCAGAAAAAATGCAATTATTGAATATTTAAGAGGCAAATAAATACGGAGGCAAAGCGAGGTCATTTTTCTTATAGAATTATGGACATTATCTTTGATTCTTTGCTTCATTTAATCAAAACATTTGGCTGTTTTATTTTTGTCAGTTTATGATCAGGAAAGCTGAAATGATTTTTTTAAAAAAACAACAGTAAAGCTAACATTTTTTTTTTTTTTTAAAGTTCATGGCAATAATTTCAATGACACATGCTTGGAGCTATTGTACAAGGAGAATTAGAGATGCTCTTTGGGGTTTCCAAAACCCATGCTGTGGGACAGGGGCACTACCAGACATGAAGAGAAGCCTGGCCTTAAATGGTGGGGAATCGCAGAGAGGCAGCGTTGAGGCCCGTTCATGTGCAATGCCCTTCACCTTGACTGGATTGGGCTTAACTTCAGCCCCTACATTTTAGAATTTCTCTTGGTACTGAGAGGATAGAAGCAGACAGTAGGAAAATCCCAAAGGAGTCTGTTAGTCATGCTGAGGTCGGTTTCCCATAGAACAGAGAGGTTCACAGAGCCAAGCCCCTTTGGACTTTTGAAATGAATGGATGACAAGGATGCTGGAGGAAGCTGAAAGCATCCATGTTATTTTTCTCTCTGAGTTAAGTGAATCTGAAATGAGCTTCTCCTCCTGGGAAGATGGAATAAATTTATTTATCCCCTTTCCTCACCGTAAGTACAACTAAAACCTATATCTATATACATATATCTATCTCTATGTATATCTGGATGGATGGATGGATGGATGGATGGATGGATGGATGGATGGATGGATGGATGGATATAACTCTCAATGATAGAGAGAAGAAGGTAGACCAGCTAAAGACAAGCTTGGAACTCAAGAAAGGACCAGGAAAAGGTCAGCCTAGCAGACAACTTAGACATTAACTTCTCTACTCCAGTGAGAAACCACAGAAAAAACTGTGGTCTCACACTAACCAGTTAAGGGCAAATGGAAGCCTGCGCTCTTACACTCACCCTTGCCAGGCTGTCATGAAGTGCCACAACCGCTCTCTGGAGTGGTGTCAGAGAAAGCTGAGTAGAAGGCAGGGCTTCCATACTCATCCCTGCTAAGTAGCAAGAAGGCTCTGTTCCCCACACTGCCAGAGGCACTGCATGAAAGGCTTGAATAAACGACTCACACCCTGCCCCTCCCAGCTGGGGTGGCGGAGAGACAGGACTTTCACCACCTCTCAGCCATGATGAGGACACCCTCCTTGTGCTGTCACTGGAGGCCATGTGAGGAACAAGAGCCAGGCAGTCCCAACCCTCCTGTCATAGAACTGTCATTGGAATCCCAGTGGGAAGCAGGAACTCTCACGGACCCAGCAATATTGTGCAGGCCCCCACTACTTGAGTGTCAGTGGAGAGTATCACCAAGGAAATAGGAACAGCAGAGAAATGGATGATATAAGGAGGAATCAAATAGAAATTTTAGAACTGAAAAACACAATAACTGAAATTTTAAAACCTACTGGATAGCACACAATACTCCAAATAATAGATATAAGAAATGGTGAATCCTTCCATCTTGTATGCTAATTGTACCATTAATGTTTTAAAGACTCATAAGCAAAATCAACATGAGAAATTGAATACCACTAGTAACAGAAATAGTATTGTCATTGAAGTCGCATTTTTCAGTTTTACTATAAATGTACTCCTGTACTTTAAAACTTGATTTTTAAAAAAGCCATGATACATTTATACAATGGAATACTATGCAGCTGTAAAAAAGGAGCTCTTACCCTTTGAGACAGCATGGATGGACCTGGAGAGTATTATGCTAAGTGAAATAAGCCAGGCAGAGAAAGACAAGTACCACATGATCTCACTCATATGTGGAATCTAATGAACAAAATAAATAGATTAACAAAACAGGTCCAGAGATATGGATGCATGGAACAGAATAACAGATCTCAGTGGGGTGGGGGTGGGGTGAAGGGACAGGAAGAGACTAACCAAAGAACATATGTGCACATATGCATAACCCATGGGCACAGACATAAGTGTGGGGAGGGCCCGGGGTAGAGCGAGGGTTAGGAGGGCAGGGACAAAATGGGGAACATCTGCAATACTGTCAACAATAATAAAAAGAGATCATGAGCTACTGCTATGAAACATTTGATCTCACATAAAGACATTTGATTTCACTTCAAGGTGAAAAAACATTAGAAAGCAAAGAGTTTTTGCGCTCACTGAGAAATCTGGGTAAATATGGTTGGTAACATTCTATCTGCCCCTTGCTTACGCATTTTTAAAAATAGCTACAGGTCTTGGCTGGGTAGTTCAGTTGGTTAGAGCACTGTCCCAGTACCCCAAAGTTGCGGGTTCGATCTCTGGTCAGGACATATACAAGAATCAACCAATGGATGCATGAATAAGTGGAACAACAAATCGATGTTTCTCTCTTTCTCTAAAAATCAATAAAACATCAATTTTAAAAAAATGAGCCAATTCCAAAATTTGCATCCCATCCATGAATTTAGAAATTAGGTATAACATATTCAAAAAATAGATTTACCATTAAAAAATAAAACATATAAGGCCTATTATAATTGAAATACTATTCCTCAGAAATAGTCAAAAGATGAAATAACAATCATGAAAGTATGTCCAAGTCTACTTCAGACAAAGAAATATTTTGGAGGAAACATTTTTATTTATTTATTCTTCAACATCAAAGGAGCACCCTTGATGGTAGAGGACACCCCTGTCCTTATGACGTTAATATTTTCTTTGATAAAATGGTGCTGAGTAACTGGCCTGTTGTCAAACTCCTCGTTAGTTGTGTCGATTTTGGCTTTTACATTCGTTGGTGGCATGGTGACTTGAGGTAATCCATTGACAGCATACAAATAGTACATATCCTCTGTCTGGAAACAAAGGGAGGAAGACATTTTATACAAAATATGCAAGGAGTGAGAAAACTGTAGGAAAAAGTTTACCAAATTAACACTTCTCCATTTAAGGTACAGGAAAGGTCCAAAAGTGAAACCACACAGAAAAAAGCAAGTAATTAACGTGGAAAATAAGTTCAGGAAAGCATTTTGTTTTATGCATTAAAAAGCATTCACTAAAAAGTCTCTCACAGTTGTGCCCTGTGAATGAACTAAGCATCCGCCCGATGGAAGGGGGAGCAATCTTCTGGTTTGCATGAATCTGTTGCCCAGCAGAACTATAACTAAGGAAACAATATCTTGCAAGGTGAACCCATACGTGAGAACTTAAGTGTGGCTATAGAACCCATTGGTAAAATGTGTGGAGCTTCTTTTTTTAGATTATGAAAGTACATAAATTAATATGACCATTTGAAATTACTGAGGAGCATGGTGTAAAATTATTAATGACAATCATAATCTAAATCCAAGCCAGTACAATTTATACAGGGATTTATTTGAAAATCTTTCATTTCTTCTGCATTATGCACAGGACTTCAATATTAAATTAGGCAGTCTAGTATTTTCTGCGTGTTTATGTTCATGCTTAAATCCCATTGCTCTTGCAGAATTTCCTGATGCTATCTGCGTTCATCTAGGACGTCGTCCTTGCAGTAAGATTTGTACCATGTATGGTAAGAAAATGAGTACTGAGAAAGTGAGTACTGTGGTAACGTTAGGGTTTAACATCTATCAAAGAAAGTTAAATGCGGGCATTGCTTGCACTTCTGGAATGGCCCTATTTTAATCATAACTGGCCCTTCTATCTAGTGTTCATGGTAATTATGTATTCAGAATCAATGAGTCAAAAGTGGAACTAAGAGCCCAATATAACAATTGAGTTGAATAACATTTTATTTCACATAAGGATGTTCGATTTGAAAAACAAAGCTACACTCTGCTGATTGTGCATATGTCATTGTATATCTTTATATTGCAAGGGACCCACTTCATGAGGACACGTGGGAAGGCCACATCAAGAGGCCTGCACGGCCCTGGCCGGGTGGCTCGGTTGCTCGGAGCATCATCCCGTACACCCAAGGTTGTGGGTTCGATTCCTGGTCAGGGCACATACCCAGGTTGCAGGGCTCCCTGGTTGGGGCGCGTATGGGAGGCAGCCCATCGATGTTTGTTCCTCTCTCTCGGCCCCCCTTCCTCTCTCTCTCAAATCCCTATGCGTAGTTCCCATTTATACCCACTAGGTTTCAGACAGGAGTGGACACCCCTTTATGTAGCTCACTCAGGTGTACCCACTGTGTTGGTCATTAGTGCAGGTCTCTTTTTTTTTTTTATCCTTACCTGAAGATGGTTATGATTTTTGTCTTTTAGAGAGTAATAGAAAACATGTGCAGATAGCAGGATGTCTGGGATTTTCTTCAAAATAATATGGAAGGTGGGGAAGCGGTGGGAATATACTTAAAACACAATTGGCCAGGAGTTGCTAAGTGTTCATACTGGATGGTAAGTGCATGAAGATGAATTATTCTATTTCTACACATATTTGGAGTTTTCCATAATAAAAAGAGTATCAACAAAATAGTGATTTCTTACACATGTTTCCATTTCAATTTCTCCCACTTAGGTTTTATCAAACTGTACCACTTCATGACTAAATGAAAATGTCATATTCTTAGCTGATGCCACATGCCAACTTATCCTCTCACAAAAACCTTTCCGTTCCACTGCCAGTGATTGAATTGTCAAATCGACACAGGGAAACCAGGCACAGATTTGGTTGGCAAAGTCTCCTAAGCACTTAATTTCAGAAATGTCCACTGGACACTAGATAAAGTGAACACCATTTTAATTTGGAAATCTCCTTTTAAAGATGTCCTTTAATCCCCTTAGATTAAAAGTATGCCCTTATTTCTTGCAAATTAGGTACACCAACATGATCATTTCGAATCAAGTATCAATGCAGCAAAGGGCTGTGTGGAGCAAGAATCTGGAGGCTTTATATGATTACCTGGGCTGCAAGAACTCTCAGAAAGATGACAAATATAAATACTTTTCTCAGGAAATACTCAACATTATTCTTCTCTCTGTTCATTAAAGCAGTAACAACACATTTTTTCTGCCCACGGCACTGCCTAATTAGTGTCTTATTTGGAAGTCTAGCGATCACTTTGGTATCAAAAGTTCTATGATGAAACATGACTACATGTCCTTTGTGCCTGTGCTATTGAAACAGCGGCATTTTTTTAAATAAATAATTTGAAAGTTGTCTTTAGCCTAAATGTTCTTAGTAAAATATATGTGTAAAATTTTATGGAGAAATTTTGCTTCCTGGGTAAATTTTCAAAATTGTGTTTATGTTAACTCTGTTTTTAAATTTTATCTTAATTGCTGAAAGTATTACAGATGTCCCCCTTTTCCTTGCCACTGACCCCCTCCACCCCGCAACCCCCTCCAGGC